TTATAAGGGTTTCCCTTTTTGGCTTTTGAAATCACTCGAATCCTTCCTAGAAGAACATTTTAGAGTAGAAATAGACACGGCGAATTAGGGCTAGTGGTTTGCAGGGTCCTTTTTTCTTTTTTTTTGTGAGGGGGGAATGCGTTTACGCACCATACCATAGCCCGAGCTACGGCGTGTGTGGGACTCCAGGTTGCCCACCTAATACCCACTAAACCCTAAACCTCCGCGTGGCCCGACTCATCAGCGTCTCGGTAGGCCATGTGTTGTGCGTGACCTGCGGTCTGCTACAACGTCTCCTCATGTGTTTCAGTCTCTGGGAACGCCGGGTTGGTGCCCTTTACCTCGCACATTCTATCGATGTCGTTAAGCGATCATCGATAGAGGGTCTGCTAGGTTCTCTTGAAACTCTTGTTTTCGAAAAATCAAGAGTTTCAAGTCCTCTTAGAGATTCACGAATACTCTTATATTCGATTTTCATTCACGACATCCCCCACTCCAGCGGCTGTGAGGTATACCTGCGGGAAGGGATGGACGGGGTTTTAGAGTGGCTAATCAAAAATAATTTTTCTAAACAACGCCGGGGTGCCCCTTCAAAGATTATTATGGGTGACGATTTGATACCATGTGCTAAAACGGCCAAATAGACAAATTAATATTGTGTTGTATTTATTTTTTAACTGGTTTTATTAATACACCTACGTGTATACATAATTCGTTATACTCGTAGCATAATACTCACTTATATATAAATAAATTCATTAGACTCCCTTCAATAAAAAATTAATTGAAAAAAAACTGGAACTCTGAAGGACAAAAATATATAGACAAAGCAAAACAATTATAGAAAAAAGAAGCAAAAATCATTGAATTATAGAAAACCAACCATGTTTGTGTTAATATTTTGTAGCATAACCATTATTATCAATCACCGCCTGGCATCGTCTCGGCATAGATTGTAGAAGTTTCTTGATATAAGATTCATCAATCTGTCTCCACTTTTGCTCTAAAGCGGCACAAAGTTCATTCTGGTTTGAATAATATTTATCTCGTATTTGCTCATCTAAGTATTCCCATAGATTTTCTATGGGGTTTATATCGGGAGACTGTGAAGACCATTTGAGAACTGGTATTTTTTCATCCAGAAAGAATTTCTTTGCGAGATTTGAAGTGTGCTTCGGGTCATTATCTTGCTGGAAGATTGATCTTAAGGGCATATACGGTAACATGACATGCTTTAGTATGTCTGTGTATACAAATTTATCCGTAATGCCATCTATTCTATGTAAAGGTCCCATCCCAAACCCCGAAAAGCACCCCCAAACCATAACAGACCCGCCTCCATGTTTGACAGTGGGCAAAGTGTAGAAACACTGACAATTCCTTTTGTCTCGATTTCGGCTTTTATTTGTCTTGGGGTTTTAAACGGATCTTTGGACGAAATTACTTTTATTAATCTAACTGATCGAACATTTAGATTTCTAGGCCGACCACTTCTCTTAGAGGCGTCCAAGATACCTTTTGTTTATATTTGTTCAATATTGCCCAAACAGCTTTACGCTTCAGCTTCGAATTTTTGGCAATGTTGACTTGACCATCTTTATATAACTCAATGATCTTAGTTTTCACATCGAAAGAAATTTCTGGACGATACGGCATGGTCTTAAAATCACTCAACTTATTCCACAATACTTGATGAACACAAACTAATCCTCTTCTGACACGAAACTGTAGTAAACTAATGTTGAAAAGAATTTGTCTACATGATTTTGTCCCTCATAAAAAAGTGCTTAGATTCAGACTTGTATTGTGTTCATTGCAGATAATGTAAAAACAAGGAATTTAGGTGTTCTACTAATAACGCATTTGTTTCTGGAGCAATGAAGTATGAATTCGTTTTCTAAAGGTATTTAGGTAAATATTCATATTTGTCTATATACTTTTGTCCATAACTGTATGCGATGGATATTCGTGAAATATGATTTATGTAGCATGATTTTTAGGCGTTGCCCCTCTCCCCTACTCCCGCTCTTCAAAATGTTTTGGGTCAGGTATGCTATGCACAAAAGGTTATACTTTGCCGATGCTCGGGCCCCCTTGGAAAAATTCCTGCGGGCGCCCATGCCAGCTACGATACGCTGTACCATTGTTAGCAGGTACTTATGGTATTACATATCAATCAATTATGCTTTCTTCGAACCAAAATCAAACAGCTTTGTATTAGACTGGAAATAAGCAATTCTGCTCGAGCATCTTTTTCCGTTGACGAATTAGATAAAGTGATATGAGACCTTGAGCTATAACAAAAATCAAAAAAACAAAATATCTGAATAAGACAGCGCAAAGCGCTATCTATCACACCAAAATTGACCTCTGCGGAGAGCGCAAGGCTGCTATTTGTTGAACCACGTGACCGCTAGACGGCTGGCGATTCTGGCTGTAAAATAGATGTGGTCTATGTACTCCGGCCGAAAAACAGCCAACGATGGGCATCTGTTTCGCGCTTCTTGGCTACTCATCAGCATGGTCTAGACTTGGTCTTTTGTCTCTGGATATAAATTGTACTGTGTAAGATTCTTTCTCTGTATGAACCTTCTTCCATTTGTCCCAGTTTTGAGTATCATTTGTGTTCGGAAACTGTTGACCAGTAGTGTATGTTAACGATATAGATATCACGGGAACAGCCATTGCGTGTCCTTGTCTATTCGTTGCTATGCAACGGCGCATCTACCGGTGATATAGTAGTTCAGTCAATTGATTTTCAATTCTACTTATACGCTACTCTATTTTTTTTTTCGTTTGTTTTAAAGTTTTATATGCATCTCTAGCATAGTAAGCGTGTACGTTCTTAGCCGCTCTCAAATCCCATAGATTTTACAACTAAGCGACAACAGTCTATTTATATTAGTGTATAACGAGAGTTCTTTAAATACATTTTTCAGTCGATAATGTTTCCATGAAGAATGTATCGGGTTTGTTTTAATTACCACAGGCCATAGTTGCAACGATGTCTTCTTCTAATAATAATAATAATAATATTAACAATAATAATAATATTTATTACCCTCTTTAAATAGTATATACAAAGTTTACAAACAAAAAAAGCCTTAAGAGAATAAAGGGCGACATCAGCTTGCCCCTTAAATAAGCAGCTGCTAGAGCAAAAAAAAATAAACAAATTTAAACAATTCTATAGTAATACAAATGGCTATTAAGACATTGATAATTAATAATGTTTTAATATTAAGAAATATAGCGAAGTATAGTAAGTAGAGAAATGGAAATTTAGAGTGAGAAGAGAAAGAGAGGGAAAAGAGAAGAGTAGAAAAGGGGGAGCAGGATATGGGTTTTCTATGATATCTGAGACAGTAAATCACTTTTAAGGTTCCTCTTAAATGTAGCTACCGAGAGAGAAAAATTTTTAATTTTGAATTTATTTACAAAAAAGGCAATTTGATAAGAGAATGATTTCTTAAATGATTCGTCATTGTGTGATGGTATTACAATCAAATTCAATCTTCTAATGTTTAGATTATGTACATCAGTCAGGTAACTAATTTTTAAGTGAAGATAAGTGGAGCTTTTATATTTTATAATCTTGTAAAAAAAGGAAGTAGAGTGCAAGGTACGCCTCTGAGCCATATTCAACCATCCCAGTTCAGGTAGTCTGTGGGATACTCTTTGTCTACCCCTTATGCCAAATATCAGTCTCAGACAAGAATTTTGAGCTTTTTGAACCCGTTTTAGTTCCATACTATCAATAAATGGGCCATATACCATATCAGCAAAGTTGAAGTGGGACAACAGTAAAGCTTCGCAGAGAGTTTAGAGTCAACCACTTAGCCCAAATCCTTCACGGAATCCCTAATATTATATTGTCCCCTAGTTTGAGCTTAATATTATTTTCTAATACATTTCTATAGGAATCATTACAAAACAATATAACCGTCGATTTACTAGGGTTTATCTTTAACAAGTGATCTTCAGAGGTTTTGAGAAGGCTATTCAAGTCGGTATTCAGTCGGTTTGTTATAAGTTCTGTCAGATCAGGGTTAAAAGAGGCATAAATTTGCGTGTCGTCAGCATAAAGATGATATTGACAATAACTTAGCGACTTCATGAAATTAAAAGTATATAGGCTATACAATAATGGACCCAAAATACTGCCCTGGGGCATCCCTGATGTAATTATAACTGTATCTGATATGTTCCCGTGCAAAGTCACGCGCTGCATCCTTTCAGATAAAAAAGAATGTATTAATGCATAGACCGGCTGCTCTAATCCAATATATTTCAGAATAGCCATTAGTATCTCATGATTAATCATGTCAAATGCTTTCGTGTAGTCCAATAACACCAAGACAGTAGCATTTCCCGCATCCTGTTCTCTGATGATATCATCCACAAGATCTGTTAATGCTATGGAACAACTATACCCGGTTGTAAACCCTGACTGTCTAAGGGGGATGATATTGTTGGCAAAAACGTAGTTAGCAACTTGTATAGCGATTGCCTTTTCCAAAAGTTTAGCAAGGGTCGGTAAAAGCGAGATTGAACGTAGTTGACCAAATTCTGTCGGATTGTTAACCTTAGCTAATTTAAGAACATTGGCCAGCTTTTAGGAAAATAAGACCTTTTAATACAACTATTTATAATATGGGTAATATAAAGAGCTATAAAAGGGCAACACAAGGAAATCAGGGTAACGTTCAGGCTATCAGCGCCAAAAGACTTCGTCTTGATACTGACGATACTATTTAAAACAAAATCTTCGTCGATTAGGTTAAATGAGAAGGTTTCATTAAGCAAGGAGCTGTTATAGAAATGCAACAATTCTTGTTTTGGAGTATTATTTTATGATATTTGGGCAAAGAAATGGTTAAGTTAAATACTTTGTGCCTGACATTGGATTCCATTTACAAGTTTGTATAAAAAATAAGCGTTGAGTTTTTTAACTTGTAGAAGTATTTTTCGGTTTTTCATTTTTTGTTTTCTCTTAACAGACATCTGACGTATCGGTATTCGAGGTCAACATCAGATTCGTAGGAGGACTGCTGGCTTGCTTCGCTCTAACTGGAGATGTAATCTTCAGGGATAAAGCACAACAGATTGCTGATAAGCTGCTACCTGCATTTGATACTCCCACCGGTATACCAAATGCTTTGGTTAACTTCAAGACCGGGGTAAGTTTCAAATAACAAAAATGTCCATCATTTATATATTTGTTGATTTTTTGTTCATGTTCGCAGCCTGTCATTAAAATATTTACATAGATCGAAAATCGACACCATACGATTTTTCGTACAATTTGACATGTAAAACTTTTATGTATTATTTAAAAATTTGTAAAAGATATAATAAACTTCAAGACCGGGGTAAGTTTCAAATAACAAAAATTTCCATCATTTATATATTTGTTGATTTTTTGTTCATGTTCGCAGCCTGTCATTAAAATATTTACATAGATCGAAAACCGACACCATACGATTTTTCGTACAATTTGACATGTAAAACTTTTATCTATTATTTAAAAATTTGTAAAAGATATAATAATAAAAAACCGTCTTTATTGATTTTCACAGACAAACTAATTATGATTGTGATACAAAAAATCCAATACAAAGCCAATGGTGAAGCAAGTAGCTATTCTAGTTAGCCATTGGATAGTAGCGCCCAAATAAGTTCACAATGAAACTAGAATTGGACCGAAGAATCGTTGAAGTAAACAAACAAAAAATATATGGTAAATGAAGTTTTCCAAAAACAGTTGAGCAATACAAGCCTTCGCAAAGAAACATACATTATTATGCTTTTACCTTTTAACTACCTTACAGAATTTACAACTACGGGAGCAGTAAATTTTATGTAACCACTTTTGATAACTATCTATATACAATAATAAAGAAATAACAAAAAATTGAATTTGAAAAGTACTATCATTGATCGTACTGCATATCAAATATATAACGTTTTTATTTGAATTTGAACTTGTGTTGTTGAGAAGCCTGAATGTTTGTGGAATCTGATTACACATCCTGGTCGCGTTATACGAGGGATGTCTTTTATGTTTTGCATATGGAAATAAAACAACACGGTAGGTAGTTTTAAATGACTTTATTGTTTTTCGAAGTATTCGCCACGAAGACTAATACACATCTGCATGCGCTCGAACCAATTTTCGAAGCACTTATTCCACTCATTTGCTGGCAGATCCAAAACGGCATTTTTGAATGCGTCAACTGCTTCTTCTGGTGACTGGAACCGTTGACCACGCAGTCTGTTTTTAATTTTCGGGAAAATAAAGAAATCGTTATATATATACAATATATACAGGGTGACTTCGAAGTTGAGTCATTTATTTTAACAGTGAGTAGATCTGATCAAAAGAAATGTTTTTTTCCTTTACCATTTTTCTGGGAAAATTAAAGTAACAAAGTTATAGCCCTTTGGAAGTTTGAGTACCGCCCTGTCTCAATAATAATATTTTGTGCTCGTGTCTGGTTCATCGCATCGGAAACAAAAAAGCGAAAGAATTTGGAACGATGTTTTTACAATTATTTTAGTCAGTTGTATACAGTCAGTGTCAGTCGGTGACGCGTTTGGATAGTGGTGTCTGTTGCGTGGCTCAAACGAAATAAAAAATGGCACATGTTTATGCGGATCGGTTTCCCAATCGAGTGCAACCAAACCCTCGTGCCTTTGTTAATTTAGTACAACGGGCTCGTGAATCAGGTGACTTAAGACCACACAGGGGACTGCATGCCGGTGCTCCAAGACCTCACGATCAAATACAGGTCCGCACTGAAATACTTGTCGGGAGGATACTTTATAAAACAAGGTAAAATTTTTTTTTAAATTTTTTTTATTTTCACACACATATTTTGGTTTATCATCCTTCTACAATCATTATCTGAAAATTAATGACTCAACTTCAAAGTATATATATATAATAAACAAATGGTGGTATACCAATCCGAAGTTCTTTGCTCATTAAGAGGAATTGTTGCAATATGACCCGCTTTTGACACAAATGTCGCGACCATCTTTTTCGAAACACTTCGAGAATGGATGACTTTTGTTGACTTTTCTTCACCTTGGAAGACCCAAACAGCCGACTGTCGTTTATTTTCTGGTTCATAACAGTAAATCCACGATTCATCACCACTAACAATGCTGTACAGTTTTTTTGAGTTTCCCGAATTGAAACGGTCAAGCGTTTTTTGACACCAATTAACCCTGGCTGCTTTCTGCTCTTCAGTCAACAGGTGGGGTATCCAACGAGAAACTAATTTTCTTACTCCTAATTCTTCAGGTACAATTTTTTCAATTGAGGTCTTTGAGATCTTCAAGGACGTCTCAATCTCGCGATATATCACATGTCTATCTTCAATGATGAGTTTGCGCGCAGCATCGAAGTTTTCCTGGGTGACTGCCGTTTTTGGTGCACCCACCCTGGGATCGTCGCTAAGACTCACCCGTCCACGTTTGAATTCTCCATTCCAACGTGATGTGGCGCTTCGTTGCCGAAAACAGACAGTAACTCAGCAAGGCATTCTTGTTGCGATAATTGTCTCTAAAAGTTGTAATACATTATGGCGCGAAAATGTTCTCGGTTGAGTTCCATTTTTCTAATGACTTGGTGACACTTAAAAATTCACTCCAGTGAGAACACTGCACGTATTGTAGAGACACTTTGAATTTAAGTTTACTAAAGAGTGAGGTCAAGATTCAGTACTGACGTTCGATCCGCACGGCCTACTATGTTTCTATATGCAAAACTTAAAAGACATCCCTCGTAATAGAGCCAAGTCTCCTCACATGTCCCGATGCTATGCACATACAGAGATTGCCCCTTATCAACATGTTCAGCATCTTTCGGCACCAAGTCGTACGACAAATCTTCTGCTCTTCCGTTGATATATGAACGAAGTTTGGAACATGGCGGTCTTGTGCTGGGTGGTTGTGTAGTTCTATTTTGATCTAACATTCTTATGATGCGCATCTTTGCGAGGTATGAAATGTTTAATCAGACCTACAACATTTGAATTGTTGATCAATTGTAATGCGTAAAGTTACACAGGTGAAAGAGCCTCCTGGTAAGCCATTCACACCCTTTTATTTTGTGTGATATAGGGTCATACTTCCTGATTCCATATACCAACCTACAGCAGATATTTTCAACCCGTTGTATTTTTGTTATATCAGCAATAGTCAAACAGGGCCAATAAATAAAGCTTCAATAGTTGAAAATTATTATTTTCAACTATCGATCTTCATTGGTTGATAGTTACAGTTGCTATGTAACTTTCTATACCAATACTTTTTATATCACATCTGTAATCATAAAATTAATGAACATATCCTTTTTTGTTGCATTACGCAAGTTGCTGTAAATTTAATTGTACATTATTACCGAAGAAAGTCGTAACGATATGGCGCTTTCTTTCCCTGTAGCATATTTGGATAAATATGGCGCTTTGCCATGCCATGCATTGTATACGAACGCCAATTTTACAATGTTTGCATTGGATACCGTTATAATTAACCATCGCGTTTGCAAGAATCTTTTATTTATGTGCAATGAGGACGAAATCCCGTTTTTTATAACAGTGTGGTTCCCACAGCAGGATTTTGGTGAAACGATATATTATTCTGAGTCATCCACCTAAAAGTCATATTGGATGATATACAGGATGGTGCAGAAACAGTACCGATATTTGAAAAAGTGCGAAATATGCCATTTTCGGCACTGAAAAACATGAAAATATATAATGCTGCCAAAGTTCCTAAAGGGCCGGCCGCACTGCATCTCACACTCATGCAGAATATACATTAGGCACGCGCTTGATAGACAATTAAAAAACAAATGTTTACAAAAACAATATCCCATAAAAGGCTTCAACATTTTACTAATGGATGTTTGAAGAATATTTATAGACTTTACAAAGAACGTAGTCTTGCGGAAAAAAATGACCATCGTGGGCACGTCCGCAATAAACGAACATGAGCAGAAATATAAGGATTGGTTACCCGAGCGACGTACGTTTCTGCTTATTGGCTTCATCAGGATGTGCATCGAAAACACCGCAGTGAAAACATATGCCCATCACATCCGGATACGGGTGGAACTTGAAAGTAAACAAAGGTGGAAAGAGAAATACAACTAGAAGCTTGGAGAACTTTGTGACTTTGGTCAGATGACCTCGTGTCAGGCATCAACTAACGTTGGGACGGAGGTCAGCGACAACTGTCTACTGTGATACTTCAAGTCCATGAAGAATGATAAGATTCAGAATCTTTGACATCATTGAAATTTCCGTTTTTTCATATTATTTTGCGGGATAGAAAATGATTTTTTCGTTAATTTACATACAATAGGCGATTTCTTTTTTGTGGCTACTGTTGCTATAAATTATCTCCATTATATTCTCATTATAAATTGATTTAATAATGAGTTCTAATTTCAATACAATTTGATATTTCTCAGATTTTAATAAAAGTGCATTATTAAAGTTACCTGAGTTATTATATTGAAAAATAGGTAGATAAATATGCTTTTTTGTCTGAAGAATACAATTTTGAATGGCAAAGCTAATTTACATATGTAGATCTTGTAGAACACTGTTAATCGGAAAAAATCAATGTACAAATGTTCAACTAAATATTTCATAGAAAATTTTAAATACTTTGGAGTTTTTGTTATTCTCAATTAATTTATGATATTCATTATGAAAAAAATATAAATAAGATTAGTAGTAAAGTGGAATATTGAGACTTGCTGGATGTCAAATTATTTTTAATACTATCATTGTTCCAAATTTCTTTTACAAAACAAGAGCATGAGAATAATAGATACTGAATAAATTTAAATATACTCCAATGAAAAACTTTTTATCAAATATCTTGTAATGATATTCATTTTTAAAATAAAAAATAATATATTTCCTCAATGTCTCACTAATTTAACATTATCAAATGCCGACCATCATTTACATAATACCAGAAATAAAAAGTATAACATATGCTACAAATCTATACCCCATCAAGGGTTGATTGAATATAATAAATTGTATACAGAGATGAAAGACCAAGAAACTTTGACAAAATTCAAAGTAAAATTGAGAAATCACTTGTTAAATCTACAATTACAGCTTGCCCAGCAGTTACATCATATGACTTGAATTTACGAATTCTAAGTCGTTTATAATTATTCTGTTTATGTAGCCAAACTTGCTAAATAAATATTTCTACTACTACTGATCGACCAGCCAAAGATTGCTAGGGACGAAAGGGGGAAATGCGATGAAAAAACCTTACCATTAGACGATTTTATATGGAGTCATAGGCGGAGATCGGAGAGACTTGAATTATTAATTGAATTTATATTTTATTACAACTGGTAGTATTAATATTTTTTTGCGATTCATAATGACGTGATACCAAACATACATTATAAGAAATAAATATACACAAACACTGAATATTGAGAACAAAATAAATATATTTTTTAGGCAACAAGTAATATTCCTATGTACGCATTATGATTGAACAGCAAAACAAATTATGCATTCTTCTAAAATAGAATACAACAAGTCAAAAATATCTGACTGAATAGAAAAATATAGGAAAACAAAAAGTAATTTCTTGATGAAATAACCCATAAACAACACATAGAATTAGACTTTCTACTGAGATACTAAAAGCCACAAACCAATAGTATAATAAATGAATATCTAAAAATTCTAAAAGGTAGCCAATCTAGTATAGTTTCAATCCTGATTAGAGTCATGATCACTGTCTGAGGAACTGTCATTGCTATCACTTTCACCTCCTATGTTGATTATTATTTCTTCCTGTATTTCTTGAATGAGACTGTCTTTTTCCCAATATTCATCTTCAATTTTTATAACATGTCCAATAACCTTTTGCCAGTCACTGGCACTTACTGAAGCGATGGCCTTATTAGAAATTTCATCTAGTTTTTTTATAGTAAATTCGCCGCTTGTATTATGGCTTCTAATGAAAAATTTTACTTGTGCCCAAATCATCTCTATGGGATTAAACTGACACATATAGGGTGGCGTTCGAAGTGGGGTGTGTCCGAAACTTCTTATTAAATTATCTATCTTATAATTTTTCTCATCAGATGGTGGCCTATGTAGACAAGCTATTTCATAAAGCTCCATTTTTTTAGCATTAGGATCATGCTCTATACCTTTTTTGCTCAACCACGTGATGATGTCTCTTTTTAGAGAAGATCTAGTTGGAGGCTTGTCTTCCAAAGCTGAATGGTAAGGTGCATTATCCATTATTATAATACTATTAGGAGGAATGTTAGGAAATAGTTTTTCAGTAAGCCACTTCGTGAAATTTTCTTGGTTCATTTGACCGTGATAATCACCAGTGGCACAGCCAGCCTTGAAAATGAGACAGGCTCCAGGAACAAAACCATCTTGCGAACCCGCATGAACAATTATAAGTCGTCCTGGAAATGAATAAATAGCCTCATTTTAGTGTTATTTTAAGTTTGCCAACACCTTTTTGAATCACTATGTATAAAAAACATATTTTTGAGAAAAAAATACTTGCAAGGGATTATGTATTCAATTAGACAAATTAAATGAGCACTTATTAAGAATATTCCAAAATTGAGAAAAATGTATAATAAGCAAAATCGAGGTGAAAGAAACTTTATTACCTGTAGAACTTATATTGCTCAGGACACCCATAATTTCTTCGCTTTGCCAGCATTTCTTGAAAGTGAGGTCATTATCAACCCAAGTTTCGTCCAAATAAATAATATGCCTTCCTTCTTCCCGGAACTTTTTAATAGACCTAAGATACTTGTATCGCCAATGTAAAATACTGGGTCTTTCCATTAGTAATTTCCTTTTGTTGTGGCATTTACGCCAGTAAAATCCTTTTGCTTTTAAAAGCAGCCTCAACGATTCTTTACCAAATGGAAATTCCATTTCTTCCTTCAGTTTGATTAGAAGTTTACTACAAGTAGGTACCACTTTAAAATCACAGTAAAATTTTTCTATCATTCTCCGAATAATGGAAAAATCGACTCCATCAATTTTTTGGATCACAGAAGGGCGTGATCTCTTTTTTCCGGGAGAAGCTAAAGGCTGTGTGGAGGTTGCATTTTGCCTGTCTTTATCTTCTTTTCTAATTTTACTTATAGTTCGTTCACTAACACCCGTATAATATGCCGCCCTTGCATTTCTAGCTACCAGTGGATAAACGAAAGTATTGTTAGCCGCTTCTGCATCGCAAGCACGTATCACGTTTGCTATTATTTCCCTTGCCTGGCTGTGAATAACTTTCCCATGCTTGAATTCCATTATCACCACTAAACAGTAAATTATATTTTCAAAGTATTTGCCAACTGCCTACGCCTATGGGAGTAGGTTTATAAATGACCGTGCCATCGGCACGTTATTCTAGTTTCAGATAAGATAAGAGTTTTGGACCAATCAGCGACCGGATGTTTACCTGCGGCCTGGGTTTTCCAGCTACATTGCCAAATTCAGCGGAACAATTCTATATCTTAAATATGTTAATATGTATGGACCGCATTTTATGTAGAACATCTGACAACTTCGCAATTTTTTGTCCGCATTCTTTCGGCTTGCAATCTTTCGCTGGTCCAACTATACTATACTACTACTACACATGGTATAATGTGGTTTACATATTAAAGAATTTTTAAGTTCACGGCGAATCTTTAAATTGTTAAGTCTTTTGATAGCATCAGGTGTTGATTAAGGTACTACTAATTTAAGATCTTGTTTTCGTCTAATATTGTAACTTATACAAATATTTATTGTTTCAAATTTAGATTTGTTTTAAAAATAAGAGTTGCCGTTTCCAAAATGAACAGTGATACGACAGTCATTATTTTAAAACAAATAAAGGCCTGCATGTAGTTCAGTTATATATCTAATGTTTCGTTTTTGTGGAATAAGCACTTTTTTAAATAATTTTGAGAACAGACACGTGAAAAGGAAATACCATATCTCAACCTACTTTCAAATAAGGCAAAGTGGCTGCTTAAGGCTGTGATTTTTCCTACGTTGTAACTAATTCTTCGTATAATAAAGGAAATATTTGCTAGTTGAGTAAGCAATTTATTTATATGATTAGTAAAATCTAATTTATGATCAGTAGTCAGTCCCAAAAATTTGATGGTGTCTGTTTTGTGTATCAGTTCATTATTCCAATTTATAAAAGCTTGGCAGTATTTAAAAGTCATAAATGTTGCCTTATTAACGTTGAAAGTCAAATAATTGTTGTCGCACCTTTTCTTGATTGTTTATATATCACTATCAATGTTTGTCTTAACTTCATTTATATCTGTTTCTTGCCAAAGTATTATTGTATCGTCAGCAAAAACTACAATTTTATTATTTATGCTTAAGCTTATTAAATCATTAATATAAACTAAGAATAGGATCGGACCTAATACCGATCCTTGAGGTACCCCTGAGTTTATATTCAATTCATTTGAAATATAATGTCTTGATAATTTCACAACTCGGGATCGATTATTTAAATATGTTTTAAGCCAATTGAGTAAAGTTACAGTACAACCATATTTTTTAATAATGATTCACACAGTTAAAAACTTTGAGAGAATTAAAAAAGGGGCTATTGAAATTTGTTTCTTTCAAATTTGAGCATAACTGTTAGAGTAAAGTGAAAATAGCATCCATGGCATTTTTTTGTTTTTAAAATCTAAATTGGCTGAATTTTGTACAATATTGTATGTCTTTGTCTGTTATATGGGCAAGCAGACCTGATACACCTACAAAACATCAACAAGTCTGTAAAGGTACATGGAACATATGAAAAAATACGCGTTATAGGACAAATCATAGACAACCAGCTTATTGCCATGGTAACGGCAAAATACCATCACGAGCCAATTGACCGAGTTGGTCATCACAGAACCTCGTAAAATGCGCAAGTTTAAGCTGTGATCTTTAGTTACAAATGAAATGAGTTATTAGGAATTTCATAATTTAAAAAGTTAACATGAATCGTTCAGCAAACGTTAGAGAAACAGTCTTAACGTTTCTATCGTTGTCGCTTGAATTTGAACTTGACAATAAACGCATATTTTATTCTTTATTGCTAATTGTCGTATTGTGTGTTAACTGGGCAACCCAAACGTGTTCATTATCGAATTCTTGACGACACATGTAGCTGTATGTAATCCCTGATACTTGATTGGATGTATTCATTAGTTTAATTAATTTGTACAGTACGATAAAACGTATTCGGTCATCTCATTCAATAAATCAAATTTGTTGATACGGAAATATATTGGAATGTAATTCAGGATTGATCTAGTTTTATATGATACTTGAACTATATAGTAATGATGCATGTCAAGCCGCATCTAGCTTCAAAAATTAGAAAATGTTTTTGTATGCATACATGTGACTAGTGTCAACTATAAACTCTTTATATAGTGATGTGAATTATTATACACATGCTTTAATAAAGGATTTTCTTCTATTTTTTAACTTCCAGAACAGCAAAAACTACTACTGGGCCAGCGGTGGTTCGAGCATCCTGTCAGAATTCGGTACTCTCCATTTGGAAATGGCATACCTCAGCGACGTTACCGGAAATCCGATATATCGAAACAAGGTAGACCATATTAGAAAAGTGCTCCAAGGTTTGGAGAAACCCAACGGTCTCTATCCCAACTACTTGAACCCGAAAACTGGAAAATGGGGTCAACGTGAGTATTAAGCCTTTGATAAGAGATTTTATCTCACAAGTTAAAATTATTGCGAATTCAAAGGTTGTTTTTTGGAAGCAGTGTTAGTGATATGATTTCGCACTTGTTTGTTATCAGTGTTGATTACTGATAAATTCAAGTACAAACCTCATAAGAGCCAACGTTTTCTTCCACTGGTCCCCAGTAAATCAAGTGGATTTAAGTCAGGTGAAAGGGCTGGTCACGAAATTGTACCAGACCGACGTATCCATTCTCTAACTGAACGGGCATAGTACGCGGGTACCACATGTCTTTCTAAATGCTTAGTGGCACGTCTTCCATCAAATTTGGTAAATGTTTTTGTGAAAAGTCTAAATAAATATCGCCATTCAAATAACCCTGGCAGTTCAAAGGGTACAATGACTCTCCCGTTTAGAATCCCGGTCCACATGTTTACTTTAAGACGATCTATGGGCTCTATCTTGTATCATCAAGTGTGGATTCTCTACATGCCACATAAGCTGTGTAGATTCATGCATCCATCTTTTCTAAATCTCGTCTCATCAGTCCATAAGATTTTCTCAAAAAGTCGCGGATCTTTTTGGTGTCTTTGTAACATTGTTTGACAAAACGCAACTTGTTTGTTTGCTTAAGATTTATTTAGCATGATTGCTACAATTACATTCTTCTAAAAAACTAAACAATTACATAACATACAGATATTTAGAAAAAAACAAAATTTGCATCTATAAGAATTTTCACTGTCCATGAAATATTCCTTTAATTTTCTTTTAAACATCTTTAAATTACAAGTAGACTTTATATCATTATTCAGTTTATTAAATTCAAGTAATCCTTTCTGAAATATTGATTTGCTAGTTATATTACTATTGCAATTTTGTAAATGAAAATCGATATTTACTCTTGTATAATAATTGTGGCAATGATTATTCAATTCTATGTAGTGTTCTAAATGTTGTGGTAAAAGATGATTTTTATTTTAAATATAAAAATGAAAACCAAATATGATATTAAATTTTTTATATTGAACTACTGCAATTCTTGTAACATAGATTTTATTTTGGTGTACTTATTTTTATTCAATATTATTCTCATAGCTTTATTTTGCAAGACTTGTAATTTTGAGAATACAGCTTCATTGCCAGTGAATAAGATAGTTGAACCATATAGTAAATGCTGTAGAATAATTGTATTATAAACTATTTTCTTGGAATAGATACCAAGACTATGAGAAGCCCTATGAAAGTAATTGGTATTTTTTTTTCAATTATATCTCCATTTATTCTAACTATGATAGTATTTTCATTTAGGTAATTCCTTATTAGCATACATTTTGTTTTAGAAGTATTCAATTTTAGTTTATTTACATTTAGCCAATTTACGATTTTTGCCAAGTCAGAATTTGCCATTTTTAAAGCAGTGTATATATTTTCTTCTGAGATGTATATTAATGTACCATCTGCAAATATCCGAAGTTTACAATAATCTAAAATATTACAAACGTCATTAATGTATAAAATAAATAGTAGTGGACCTAGTTTACTACCTTGTGGTATACGAACAGAAATATTTTTTCATCTTGATAATGTAGATCAAATTTTGGTTTTTTGACTTCTGTCATTTAAGTAGTTTTGTAGAATTTTGAATACAGATCCCTTAAATCCGTAGTGATGCAATTTTGTAAGTAATTTATCCCTGTCAATAGTCTTAAACGCCTTTTGAAGTCCAAAAACACTGTTACTGTATGTTTCCTATTATCTGTACATCTCCAGTCCTCTAAAACCATTTGTGTTGTCGTTTCAGTTGAGTGTTTCTTCCTGAATCCAGCATGAAAATTGGTTCAAATGTTATTTCCCTCAATAAATTCGATGATCTGTTCGTAAATAATTTCTTCAAAAACTTTTTCAACATCTGGCAGAACATTTATTGGCTGCATATTGGTGTACAACTCAGAATTCTTAACTTTAGAAACAGGACTTATGGTAGAACACTTTAGTTTTGTTAGAAATTCGACATGTTTTAAACAGTAATTTATCAGGATTAATATTCTTGCTCCAATAATATAAAAACATTAATTAAGTACACTTTTAGACAGAATCTCACCCTTATTTTGATTTGATTTAATTTTTGATATAATCTTCTTGAGACGATTAATGTTTATTGGTCTAAACTCACTGAATGATGCATTATAATCTGAGCTAATGGGTCATTGGTTGGGATCCCCGTCAATAATTGATTTTACAATGTCGTTGACACTTTCTATGAAATAGGTATTAATTCGATCTGCTATTATTTCTTCAAAATAAACCGCCGTTGTGTCTTTTTTTGTCGTGGATGGCGTTGGTGCTTCGAGAGGTAAAACGAGCTGTCGTTCAAACCAATGGTTGACGATGGATAATCTCGAACGTTTTTTCGCGTTATGTAAAATACTCTGCGAAAGATGCTATTTGTATTTGTTTATTCCAGACCACATGTCAATGGGTGCTCTCGGTGACAGTTTCTACGAGTACCTCCTGAAAGTTTGGCTGCAAACCAACAAAGAAGACAACGAAGCTAGACAAATGTTCGACGATGCTATGCAGGCGGTGTTCCAACACATGCTGCGTACCTCACCAAGTGGACTATCGTACTTCGCTGAACTGAAGTTTGACAGGCTTGAGCACAAAATGGACCATTTAAGCTGTTTCTCTGGTGAGTAGATCAGATTGGATTCAGAATTTAAAGAGCGCAACAATAGGAATTTAGGGATTTTGTTTTCAAATCTAACTAATAATATTGGAAAAATTAAATACCATGGTTGTTTATTAGTGATTTAGCTTTCATCTGTCCAACCACAGCTGTTTCGTGCTTTTTGGCAACGTATGAGCATGGTTTAAGCTTGGTCTCATATAGGACAACGAACGAAAGCTGAGCAACTATCCTCTATACAGTATATCAGGTCTTTCGAAATAAGACAGCACAAAGTGTAATCTATTATCAGAAACGACCACTGCGAGAGGAAAAAGGCAAGCTGTCTGTTGGAACTGTATCCCACCTCGCATTTGACAGCCGGATCAACACTGTTTGTTTATATTATCAGAATGTAGAAGTGTGAGATTTATGTTTTCTAAATATTCTCCAAATGTCCATCACCTGTTTCTACAGATGTCATTCGACCTAAGTTTTCAGGAGTTTTTGCTGCTGCTTATCTAGTTGGGCTCATGAAAAGTCCATCTTTTATTTGTGGTAACGCTCGCCGTTTTTAGTAGGTTTACTCAATTCTGATGCATTCCTCCGCCGTAAATCGACCCAGAAACAATTGCCATGTTTCTGGATCACACATTATCAATTAGTCTAATCATATTAGCAATTTTCTCAGAAATAATTGTAAAGTTTAGTTTTAATGGTGCAAGTTGTTCAAGGGGGTATCTAAAACATGGTCGCAGAAAATGAGTACACCAATTTTTGTGGGAAAACTTTTCATTTGACAACAAAAAATGAGAAAACGTGTTTTTTGGGATTAAATCTAAAGTGTTGACAGGAACATGTTTTAAATACCCCCTCGAACAACTTGCACCAATAAAACCAGACTACAATTATTTCGCAAACCAGGGGTATTTTCTTCTAAATGTAAAATATGTGTAACCGTTGAAAATTTTTCTATAGGATGCCCAAAATTCATATTGTTTTTGTTTTTAGTTTTTCAATATGAATATTCCAACTCAAATTTAGATCAGTGTTTTAGGCCAAGGAATTTCATACTGCTAGCACATTGAATGGATTTAGTCGTAAGATTCATGTCCCCATATTGTTTCCATATGAGTGGCTATTGAATAAAATGGTTTTTTGATATTTAGAGTCAATTTACGAAAATATCAGTCACTCCAACAATTTTATTAACTCCATATACATACTTAGCTTAATTTGATCAATATTTTCAGAAAAGTAAATTATTGTAGTATGCATATAAACTCGTATCTCCTTCAAAAGGCATTGAAAAAACTGTATTGACATAAACATTAATAACAATGGCCCCAAAACTGATCACTGTAGAACTCCATAAGTGATTTGTCCAATGACTTGAACATCTGATCAGCAATTGACATTTTTGTTCATAACCTTAGACATGTCTCCCAGTCATCTATTTCCAGCTTTCCCATGTACTCCTCCCCATTACCAGGCCGCCGGATGACATAAGAAGGAGTTGTCATCGCATTTGGTTAACAATTACTTCGTTGATGGTCAGCGCCATTTTCTGGAACCCTTGAATGTCGCTACCATATAGTGATTTTTTTTTTGTTCCAGGTGGTTTGTTAGGCCTCGCCTCCAAAACCTTGAAGAACGACCAGTCCCAGCGGTACATGGACGTGGCCAAACAGATCACGAACACCTGTCACGAGTCGTACGATCGTTCCAACACGAAACTGGGACCGGAAGCGTTCCGGTTCACCGAAGGAGCGGAGGCACGCGCTATGAAGACGTCAGAGAAGTACTACATTTTGAGACCGGAAGTGATCGAGTCTTACTTCTACATGTGGCGGCTGACCAAGGACAAGAAGTACCGAGATTGGGGATGGGAAGCTGTGCAGGTGCGTCTGATTTTCTTTGTAGGGGGGGCTTAACAAGATTTGGAGGATAACTGACAACGTGACAAAAGTGAGGCTATGTAAAATGGCTAGGTACAAAGGTTAATTTAATGGAGATTTTCAAATCTACACCACTTTTTTATTATACCGAAGTAGTCTCGTAGGTAGAAGCCTAAATGCCGCGGCACCGCGGCTGTTATAAGGAGCTTGAAGAAACTTTTTTAATACGATTTTTGAACTGCTTAATGTTAGGAGGACTGGGAAAAGCCTCCTCAGGTAGATTATATGACAGTCTCTATACAAACGGACAAAGGAGCGGTCGTATTGGCATGTTCCAGTTTGACACGGTTAGGATCGTAGACCGAAGTCAGACGGGTATGTTTGGCATGCACATCGCGCGGCGTCATCATATAGGAGAGCTCTGAGGAGCAAAGCCCGTTGACATAGCGGTAGAAGAGAACCAGATCTTCGACGGTTCGTCGGTACATGACGCTCCCGAGACTGTCCGTTAGAGTTAGTCATCGATCAGTCGGATAGCCCTGTTCTGAACAGCACCGAGCATGGATAATGTAGCCGGCACTGCAGCACCCCAAACATGTGAGCAGTACTTGAGGTCTTATCTGGGCATTGTAAAGAGTGAGAAGGTTATGTGGCGACAAATACTTCCTAGCGCTAGACAGATTTTTTCTTACAGCTGCCTGTATTGACGAGATTTGTCCATACCAGATTAAGTCCTCTGTGATCTGGACCTCGACTGTAATAAACCTTTGCCATCCACCGAAACGAAATGAGTGCTAGGACGATCTTGTTATTCAATGTAACTATGTTTTGGAAGCATTAAACTTTGGCAGATTGTTACGTCTCAAGGCAGTGATAACCTCCAGGTCTCTCGTAATCAGCAAGGTCTGGATATGATTGATCATTATGATACTGATGAAGCTGTTGAGTCACAACGTTTATATCGAGGCACCGCGGGTGCTATAAAGATGTGAAAGATATTTTCTGGTCCGATTTTTTAAATGAGGTTGGTAGAACTGGGAAATACCTCTTGAGCTGGATTGTCCCTTATTATCGAGAACCCATGAAAAGGAGAACGCTCGTGCTAGAATGAGAAGTAGGGATCTGCTGACACGTCTACATCGTGGCGACATCATGGAGAACTCACAGTGTCAAAGTCTCCAAAAATATACTACTTTTAAAACTTGAAATTTTGTGAATATATTTTTCATAGGCCATACTGATCGATTCGAACGAAATCTGAACGCTAAAAGTGCAAGCCAGCTATAATACCTAGAAGAATAGAAGGTCAATAACTTATATTTTAACACTAACATTGTAATTTTCTGTTCATAATATCTCCTTCTTAGCCTGTCTATAATATGGCTAACAGTTTATTCGACTACCTCAACTACCTGCACACGCTACAAACCTCTACAATCCTGGTACCACACACAATATGGTACTGATTTGATCTTACAAGAAAAGAGGTCTTTGTTATTCAAGAGGAACAATGTCGGAGCCAAGACCGATCCCTGGGAATTCAGCCACCTACCTGCAAATCTTCTTTGGAGAAGTATAACTGTACTTTTTAGTTGTGAAGGTTATGAATCTCACTATTCGTCATTTGTTTGTCTGGGCGGTCTGTAGGAGCTTTACCCATTAGTCACTGTCTAATGTACGTTAGACCTGGTTGCCCAGAAACCAGACAATGTGAAGGAAAAGGAGAAACGGAAAGAGAAAAAAAAGGGAGAAGACCAAAGAAAAACAAGTGTTTAGTTTAAGAGGAAACACCTAGGCTTTTTGACTTGGTACACGGATTCATTTTGAGGTGAACTAAACAAATTTTGATTCGGTTATGTTAGAGTGTAAATTTAAGTTTACTAAAAGTTCGCGCTAATTTTTGATTGCAGTGCGAGCCGTGGCCTTGAATGTTTACGAACTTGCTCCACTATGTAGTCCACTGAGTCGCTGAAGCTTGACATAATCCGTCAAGTAAGGAATGTCAAGGTCTCGGTGTTGTGTCTGGTTTGAGACATACCATGGAGCATTGCAAATTGTTCGCAAAGTTCTACTTTGCAGTACTTGAAGACTTTGCATGTGTGTCTTGGCAAGAAAACACCAAGCCGCACATGCATAAGTAATGGCTGGTCTAATAATCATTTTATATAGGCGAACTTTGTTTATCAAACTCAATTTGGAGGATCCACATAACAAAGGATATAGTTGCCGAAACGCAATTTGGAATGTTGTTTTCAAGGCTGTTGTATGTTTCTGCCAGGTCACGCCTTTATCAAGGGTGACACCGAGGTACTTGGCAGAATTTGTCCATGGTACACCCTGGCCGTCTACAGAAACCTCTGCTGAAGGGTTGCGACGTTTTTTGGTACAATAAATAGCCTGCGATTAATTTTAATCAGCCACCGTTCCGCCCACTCTAGTACTTCTTCCACCGCACTCTGCAACCCATCGTGAACCAGATCACCAGCACACGACTGCGCGACAAGTGCAGTGTCGTCAGCATACAGGTAGACTTCACAGTTGCTGGGGCAAGGGTCATCATGGATAAAAAGCGAACAAAGGACTTGTCCTAGGACCGAACCCTGAGGAACACCGGCCCGTACTGGCCGTGTTGTTGACAAAACATTGTTAATTTTGATCCGAAACTTCCTTCGTTCAAGAAAGGATTTGAGTAATTTTAGAATTACGATTCTCAACATTGTTAGTGGAGTCAATGACAGTTGCCTTTTCCCACCCTTTTGCCAGATTGTCAGTTATACTTTCCTTCATATACAACTTTACACGCTCTCCTTTATTTTTCAGGCTTTGGAGAAATACTGCAGAGTTCCAGGTGGATATACAGGGATCAAGAATGTCTACGCAGAAGAACCACAACAAGACGATGTACAACAAAGTTTCTTCCTGGCAGAAACGTTAAAGGTGAGTTTTATTATTTCTACCAACTAATAGAAACTAGTAAATCGAAAACATCTGGAATGATATTTTCTCTTATGAACTGTTCTTACCAGAAGCAGTCTGACTGCAACCTAACTCCAACTCACTTTCGACTGCGAATTTTGTTTTCCAGGGGAGAACGAGAGTTTTTTTAAAAATCACCTTATTTTCTGCAGTTTTGAATCTCACTACTACTACAATAGTTGGTTGTTATATGATGACAGCACAAAGTATTCATTTGCTTTTATTATTATTATATTAGGTTACTTGACTGAGATGAATTCCAAGTTCGCTAACAGCAGCAGTCGAAGGATATTTCTTTAACGCTTTCAGGATGCAATGTAATAATTATATTGTACAGATTGAGCCAAAGTACATAACTTGCGTGAACTGCTTATTTCGTTTTGAAGCTACATTGATTACTTTTTTAAAGTCGATTTCTAAATTCATTTTTGTGTTTTGCTACTGTTTCATAGATGGCGCTAGGATCTTATAGATCCCTTATTGGGCGTCGGAATAAGTATAAGGTTGGCTATCTTTATCAATACTCATCAACTATAAGCTTGATTGTTACAGTTCTTGTATCAGTGGTAGCTCTCCTGGAATTTTTTCAACACTGCTGCTCCAATTGATACGATTAAAACACAAAAATACGATACAGAAGTACATTTATCAATTTAGCTGAAGGGTCATAATGTTATATTGTTCGACTATTTTGTTCGCTGCTAACGAAACTGTATTTTCAAAATTACAAGTATCACAAAATGAAGCTATGGGAATCATCTTGAATAAAAATAAATATTCTAGAATACATATTATTATTATTTCAAGACCTACATACTTGGTTTTCATTTTCATATTACATTAAAAAATCATCTACCAAATCATTTAGAAAATTTTATCAAATCGACAACCACATAAGTATTTCAAAAAGGATTGTAACCAAATTTGAAAATATTTAAACGTAAATTGAAGAAATATTTCAGGGAAAACCAGAATTCATATTAAAATTTAGTATAAAAATATGTTGACTTGAAAACAAAATACCTGTATTATGTGTAACATTGAAATTGTAGATTAATGCTTAACAAACAAAATATCCACAGATATATTTCATCAAGGAAACTGTTTTGTTGAGTTGTGGTTGCTAGTTACCTTCGGTGAGAACGGTCCTCATTGCCCAGAATCATTTTTATCACCTATTTTTTTATTATAGTATCTCTACCTGCTGTTTTCGGACGACAACATCTTGTCGCTAGACGAATGGGTGTTAAATACAGAAGCTCATCCCTTGCCCATAAAGGGTGTGAACCCCAACTATAGAGAATCAACCCAATAATGGTAGACAGTCCTTCGTGTGCGACTGAATTCTGTATTCATTTAAATCTAGCGCCAATTTCCGGGGGAACTCAACGTAACCGATACATGAAAAGTGTTCACGAAACATGACTTAGCCAATGTTTTTGCGTGTCTTCTACGAACGAAATGCTGGAACTGTACATATAATTATAAGGTGAAAGTGTTTGATAATACCTGTGATCTACATTGACTTGAACAATGGACACGACGTTTGCTTTTTTGTTAGAGGGAAGAAAATGGTGGATATTTTTTAGGTACTTTTAGTGCGAGACAGATGAATATTCTACTCAACGTGCGTGTATATATAGTAGTTGTCTTCTAGTCAGTCATTTTTCGATGAGACTTTTCTCTGGGTAAGTGCAAAGGTAGAAGGTATTTTTGCATCTGAATGGCAGAATTGTCATACGGAAAATAGAAAAAGCTTTTCTTCCCTATTTTGTCCATCTTTACCTGTGATACGAATATTTATATTTTTTCAAAGCTTTTTGATGTGACTGACTGTGTTTTTCCGGACATTAATTGTTTATCTACGATTGTGCTATATGTATTTCGAGAATAATAAGCGTTTAAGTTGCTAGGCATGTTAGAGTCGTCTAAGGTTCCGGATTTACGCCCTAGACACACAAAAAATATAGCGGCATTTGATGAACATGGTTTGCACCATTGAGATACGGGCCTCTAAATTTTGTTTGTGAAATTGAAAGGACTTTTCAGTATTTTTTTGTTGTTCATGGATTCCAGATGCAAGTAGTGCCATCTACATTTGTATTTACAGCTAAATTTTGCTTTTACTGGAAGGGCATAAAATGTGATACTATTGTGGGATATTGTATGAATGTTGCCTTTATTAGAAACGACTATTTTATAAGGAGTAATAATTATTTAATGTGAAAATGTTTTAGGTCAATGCTAATTTTAATTTTAGTAAAATGAAGGTCGTTTTATAGTACGATTGTCATTTTGAATCATTACAATCAAAATTCATATTTTATCTATAATTTACTGTAAAGCAGGTTCAGTAATATAAATTTTCGTCGTGGACTGTTAATAAAAAATAGCATATGGAAGGACGGTTAAGGCCAAAATTTAAATTATAAACAATGTCTATAAAAATGTAATAATTATTGGTGACCTGTTTCGTACTTATTTCAGCAACTAAGGCGAAGCGCGTCATAAATTTTTAATTTTCATTTTGAAATGTTTGCATTAGTTATTTTTTATTAATAAATCTAACAAGAAAAATAATTCGTCACTTTTATAAAGTGATTAGTAGAGGCGCGAAATGAACTAATATAGCAGCACCCAGAATGTATCGATGTGAAAAAGTTTATGTTAGTTACATGAGTTATAAACCAAAAATGATATTTTGAGGAACTTCTGAGTACTGTTTAAATAATGATTAGTTACTAATCGGAGACTGTTTGATCATCTAATTCATGTGGACTTATGATTTTTCCGTGTAATCACATTTTTTTTTTGTAGTTTTATCTGACTATTGATATACTCGTATTTTGGCATAGCTTTAGATGTATTCCGTTTTTTTTTTAAGAAGAAACGTTTTATGTGATGGCAGCTGTTAACAGTGGCTTTTAGCTGACATGTTGATTGTCAGATGAAAATAAGCATTTATATTGTTTTAGTATCTTTAGCACACCCCATAAAAATTGTTAACCCAATTTTAATGTCTTTTCTTTTATATCATCTTCAGTACGGGCAATATCTTGACATCTGATGGGAAAAATATTCTGATTCGTATTTTTTGCATAATCTCATTCAAAAAGGGCCCTTTTTCATGAATTTGCATGTTGCCAGGTCCAAATTTTAGTCATAACTTATTCAACAAATTTCAGAAATTGTTCTTTTTGTGCTTCGGTGACAGTGTTTTTAAGTTTTTAGGACATTATAGAAAAAAGGTGCTTTAGAACTGGATAGTTTTCGAGATATAAGCGATACAATATTTGTAAAAGTGCGAAATATTCCATTTTCGATCTAGAAATACAGTATCAAAAAACGGAAATTTTAATTTTGCCAATGTTCTTAAATATGTTTCAAACAACCATTTACAAAATCCCAAAGCACCTGAGGAGACGTTGTTACTGTAAACCTTTGTTTTTTAATTGTTGTTTGTTGTTTAAAAATCGTCGACGCTAATTTGAGCCTGGCAACACGCAGGTTCGTTAAAAGTGGCGCTTTTTGAATACAATTATGCAATAAATCTGGATTAGAATATTTCCCCATCGGATGCGAAGATATTGCCCGTATGACTTTTATTATCCCATTTTGTTAACATTGAGAAAATATACATATGTTTACAATTATATGAATCGCTTAACTTTGTTGCATCGTACGTTTTTTGTTTTTTAGTTTTGTGTGATTGAATGAACAAATATTTTTCTGGGGTGTGTACTTTTGTCACTATGTCATGAAATATGGCAATATGTCATAGCACGACTTTTACTTTTTACTGTCAGAGAGGTAGTAAGTATTGTATAATATTGTATATATATGTTAACTAGATGTTATACACTTATATCGAAAACTAAACAATGTGCTAAATGATTGCATTTTATACAACTTCTATAGTTTGGTCTGAAGAAACTTTTTTTATAAAAATGTTTATGTATAATTTTATTTTTCTCACACCACCAGCGTATCTAAACAGAAGTTCCAAAACTAAAAATCTTTATTTAATGAGGCAAACTTCAATTTGGTAAGTGAATTTTTTTTAGTTTAAATCTCATTCTTTTAGATTCTTTAGACGAAGCTTGCCCAGTTAGAGAAGACTGAGTAATTTTGCGAGTGCCACTATTTTTGTAGAACACACCACATGTTTACATATTCAAAACCTAGTTTTTTGAAAATCGTATGCTCCTCTAAATTCGGTGAAACTATTTCATACTTTCAAAAAGTACTCACATCAGTTACTATGGGAAATTTTATGTGTTCGAAATTCTGACTAACTTTTCATTTATCTAATGCTGGAGGTATACTTGTCTTAATCTTTACTCATAAAGCTGACGTTTCGACATTTATTTGATGTCTTCATCAGCAGTACAAAATGCGAAGAATACATTTTGATGAATTACAATAAGACCAAAAAGTTATATGGATAAGAACATCAAAATAAACAAATATGTTAAAAACAGTAGTTGAATCTTGAATCAAAACATGAGACAAATATGATGAAAAAAACAGTAAATTGTAAAAAATGGAGAAGAGCAACCTTTTACCAGAATCCGAAAATTAAAACAAGAAACGTAACTTTTGTTTTGAGCTGAGGGCGTGGCAAATACTATCAGGCATTTTTTAAGAAATTGTCAAAGTTTGTATCTTGAATTGTATTGTTATCATGAAGTGCTTTTTATTGTATGAAATATTTCATGAGGAAAGATTACGTCGAAAGTATTATTTTGAGAAAACTATTTTTCAGAGTTCTTATGAATGCATTGCCTGTATTTCGTTGGTGTTCCGCAAGCTCCTCGTGTGTTGTGAAAAGTCTTAAAGATAAATGGAACTACCTGTAAAAAGTTGTTTACTATTTAAGAACAGAACTGTAAATACCAACATTTTAAATAAAAAAATATTAATTTATTGAATTGTGTTTCAATCTTGAAATTGAAAAAAAATGGGCCCTAATAAAAAATTCGATAGAATGTTTCTCACGTCAGTTGGCCAGAAAATATGGTGATCATGAGGCATTCTGAATCCAATTTTTTAATTTAGTATACACGTTTCCAACCCCTATAAGTATGCTATCACTTTTTTCCTGCAATCATTGAAATTTATTATGGGCTATCCTACCCTTGCTCTACTTTTTGTTAATGTGCAATCTTGTAAAATAGTCATAGTTCCGTTTAATGATCATGATCTTTAGGCGCCCTACCCACTCTCAAGAACGTTAGTTTTACTCGTTTTTTGCTCATTTTTACTCATATTTTCTTCCAAAATACTCATTTTTCTCGAGAGCCTGTAGAAACAGTAATGATCCAAATAATTGATATTTTCGAAAAAAATCTTATGTTCCTGGAATTTAGACCGACAACCGTGGAATCTTACAGGCACTGTGTTTTCAAATGGTCTATGGTCTATGTTTAGATATTACAATATCTCTTCAAAGGGTAAGTTTGTTCCTTCATTTTTACTTTCTTCGTTTTTACAATTTTGATAAACATCTTATGTTTGTTTAGTTTGGACCGACAAGTATGAAATAAGGCACTCAGTTTTCAGATATTCCATGCATACCCGTATTTTGGGATTTTTAGGCGGCTTACGACATCTTGTTTCGAAGTTGACTTTTGTCATTTGATTTTTCAATCATCGCAAAGAGTAATTAATTCTGAGATTCATACAACCATGACTTCAATTTTTTATTCACTAAACTACACATCAACATATATACACATGATTAACCTTTATATACATTTATCAAATATCTGTCCCGCAGGGTAGATGTTGGATGTTGTTAGATGTCAGTAGTCACTTACCAGTCTTTGAAATGACTACCAATCCTAGAAGTTATTTAGAGCTGTTTTCCTGGTTGATCCATTCAGTGGTGACCAAGTGCACGTTTCTCCTGAAGGAACAGAACAATGTGAACTAGGTTTTTATCGATAATTCAGCATTTTTGTAAGTAGAAGAAAAGGATTTTTCTCTGAAGAAGGGAACTGCCTACTATAATGTAACATCTGAAACTTATCTTGGGGTTTTCATGCCGATAATCCCCGATGTGTGACCTTAAAGAATTTCAAATATGGATTCGTTGACCAGACAAACGGGGGATTATAATAATATATTCACGCACAAAAAAATATTATAGTTGGGCAGCTTAAACAACTTTCGCGAGTGCCGCGTCGAATTTTGTTTTTTTCCAAGTTTTGCACGAACACTGAATTTAAATCCTATAGGCTTTCAATCTACTTTTGGGAGAAGGTTACAAAAGAAATTGACAACTGCTGGCTGTGGTGGCGGTAGTGCATATAAAAATAAAAGGTATTCAAAATGATATCGCTGATTCTCCGAATAGTTTTTTATACACGCAATAAAAAATGTCACAACCCTTCAGTTTGCATTGCTGCTGAAGCAAGGTAATTTGAACATTTATTGTGAATTTATTAAATACATTCACGAATTAATAAAACTGCGTTACCATCTGTCTTGCTGTCACTACCTAGAATGAGACTGTCTGCCACTCCGTCTAAGAAAAAAATTAAATTTGTGATAATGAGAACTAAAAGATCATCACAAGGTGTAGATTTTTCCGATTTTTTTAAGCCTATAATTTGAAAAATGCATGACTTAGTTTTTTTAATATTTTTTTATAACTATTATGACTTGGATTATCCTCCGTTGCCGACTTGAGGTCGATTTCTGGGACACCTTGAATGCTCGGCAAAACCGGACATCGAATATGCCGGGTACCGGATAGTAGTAGTAGTATATAGATATATATATATATATATATATATATATATATATATAGATACAAACCGAGTACAAACAAATGCGATTGTATGTAAGCAAAGCGAACTAAAAATACTTCCCGTGCTGATGCAAAAGTCTACTACTATCAAAATCTATAAAATTCTAAAAGTGATGCTTATCATTAACAAAAAGAAAATAGTACCAGCATCCGATGTTGTCCATCGTTTTCGAGGATATCAGCAACGTCAGGATTTTGGTCTTCTATTATTTCGTTGCTCCCTAAATATTCCTGACTGCAATAAAAGTCAACGAATTAATTTTGGTTGAATTTCAAACATTTAACTTAGAAGCTAAAATAAAAAGAAATAGATTGACTTTTCATATCTCTGTTCCCGTGGGAGATAAATGAAACCTTCGACGTTAGTAAAAAGACTTTTCTGACGCTTGGGCCATATTAATAATAATAATAATAATAATAATAATAATAATATTCTTTATTGCCAGCAAAATTTTAAAGAAAAAAACATAAGCAACGTCAAAAAAAAAAATGTAGTACAATACCAACGGGATATTATATGTATGTTTACAATATTAAAAACTATTAAAATGACAAATAAAAGTCCAGTATGTCACAACTTAGCTTAAAATGTTATTAAAATAAAATAATAGAGCTCAAATGTTAAAATCAAAGCTGTACAAACATCTGTCCAGCAAAAACTTTTTCACCGCTCTTTTAAACCTAATAGGCTTGCTCTCGGATTTTATATCTATAGGAAGCATATTGAAAGTTTTGACAGCCATGTATATGATGTCCTGTTTCAAAGTACAAATACAATGGTACATCTATTTAGTTTAAGTTTAAGTATTTTATTTGTACATGTACTTTGAAGAGGCCACCGCTGTTTTAACGTGTGCTAAATCTGTTTTCAAACATTTGTGGTCTGATTTATGAATATGAATCGGCGAGACAATCACAGGACAAATTTCATAAGTAGAATTATCTCATCGTCAAACGAAAATCTTTGAGAATATGCTACTACAGATTGTTTACTATTTTAGTATCGTCTTGATGTCGTGTTTAGAGAAATGCTGAACATTGGAAATTTGATACACTACATTATTACGGCTTTCGGCCACTTTGTCTTAGTATCATATCACCGAACTTTCTTTCCAGTCCTATCCTTTTATTATCACTTATAAGTTTGGGGAAGCATTTCAGATTCAATCAACAAGCCAAAAGAAAAGCCGAAAAGTATATATTGATGGGTATATTGATATATCCAAGGATAGGTGTAAATCCTAAGGACAAAAATAAGAAAATTCGACAAATTGAACTGGCAACATTGGGCATTCATATTTCTACTACTACTACTACTACTACTACTATTCTTTTTTATATTTTCAAAAACATATGATTCAAACAAATGCTTATCCAAAACTACTGGAATAATATCCTACAACATACAATACTTATACCAGTTTTCCAGATTTTGTCCTACAGTCCTGAAAATGAAGATGCCATGGTGGTTGTGCTATTTCGCGTTATATGACGCGGATAAAATTAACACATCTCGGTGAAACAGGAATTTATCCCAATAAAAAATAAGCAATCAAATTACAAAAAAGTGTGACCATCAAGCCACAACAACACCGTTTTCCTTTTTAGTCCATTCGCGCAAAATCTGAAAAACCGAGACCAATATTGTAAAACATTGTTCCCAAAGCAAACGCATTTTCAAAAAAATCCCGTATTTTTCGACGTATAAAGAAAAGAATCATGTTTTTACATATAAAGTGTAATACGTCAGGAACTAAGTTTCATTCAGATGATGATTTTTTCGAAGTCAGAGGTTAGAATCATGTTCCATCTAAAATGAACAAATACCTTTTAATATCGCTGCCGTCGCTCAACATCTCATTTGCATTGAAGTCATTTGAGCTACTTCCAAATATGTATCGCCTGTTCAGAGGTTTTTGAATGAGCCTTGACAAGTACCATCTGGGAAGCATTGACATATCAGCATCTCTACGAGTGCTGCTGATGTGGGAAGAGTCACTTCTTTTTCCATGACCTAAAAGTAAATCAATACGCGAATTGAACCAAGTCTTGTGGCATCTCCTTAGGATATTATCACTATCTACAAGTTGACATGATGACAAAACCTTGTCTAATATGACACTCTGACATGCATTGGTTTCATGCAATTTTGAGGAATCGTATGGTCATCGTCAAACATTAACCAAAAATGTTGAAAGGTTTTCATTTGAATTTTTAGTGGAACTATCGCCGTTATACCCTCTGCGTGCGTCTCCACGATATTGGTTTAATTTCTTCAATCGGAAATATGAAATAAGTATAACATCTGAATTTTGTACTTACCACCCCAACATGCATGACCATAGCTTAGGCAGGACCCTGTAAAAAATCCGTGTGAGTGAGTAGTGATCAATGTTTCCCTTAATCAATTGTGGACGTGTGACAATGCGCCCACGAAAAATTTTTGGTGAGAATTTTGGGCGCACGGCGTCGTTAGTTTTGGAAAAATTGCTGAGCTTATTAGCAAAAAGCATTATTGCATAAATATACCAATATTTCACTATCTTAGCATAAAATACTTTTTTCATCTGATATTAACTAACCTACCCGTCACATCTTTTCTGTCTAACAATATTCTAAATAATGAATAGCAATATTATCTAAAAATTAGTCAACGAGAGGTAAAGTTTAAAAAGCGGAATATGGGAGTTTTTTAAACCGAATCGGTTTTCTATACGTAGACGGTTCAAATTTTAACGAGACTTAAAAAACCGTCATTTAAGATTCATGCCAGGTAAAATTGATTGCCTATAATTGCATATATTGCAGCTATATAGCCCCCTCGTTATTATTTGCTCGCTGGTGAGGGTAAGGTGAATTTGCCTACAAGATTGTACAATTTGACTTCATTAGGCATTTGCTTGTCTTACGTTTTGAGAAAACTAAACCTCGTGGATCAGCGCTAACTATAGCTCTAGCGAATAGACATCGAAGATTTAAACACCGCCAAAGTCCACAAAAAATATCATATGTAACTACATACATAGGTTTTCCAAATAGAAAAGAATTCCGATATTATCTTAGATATAACTATTACTACATTTTACACCGACACAGCTACTATAAAAAAAGTTTTTGCGGATCCGCACAGAGTCGTAAAATATGTACTACTATAAACTTTAGCTAAAAAACAATAACTGAATGAAAAATGCGATAACAATTTTTGGCCCACTCCAGATTATTACACTTCCCATTCATTATTTCATCGCTATTTCGACATGGTGTGTTTATTATTTTTTCATTTTTGTTATGATTAAATTAATATACCCGTAAACGGTGTTCGAGGAACGCAGCGTATATTTCAGTACTTAATTAAACATGCTCAGGTTTGCTATATTTCTGCATTAATATAACATTCAATATAATATCTATTCCAGGAAAAAGCAATATATTACGCTCTTAGGAAAAAAACTACGTGCAATTTTATTTTTGCATCTTGTACAGCGGAAAAAATCTCTTCGCGATTTTTTCAGTAGCTTTGAACTGGTTTGTCTCAAAAAATCTCTCGATACCTACTAAAATGGATATAAAAGCTTTTACAACGGGTTTAAAAATGTTTGAAGATAGCAAATCCCAAAAATCCTCAAACTTGTACACAAAATCATCTTAAATATTCAAATTTTAAGGGGGGTCACGGCGTTCCACTTCCACCCCTTGTGGGTGGCCGCGAGTACCCTTCAATTTTCAAACACTTTAATCTTGGAACATGTAAATTAACTACTGGTTTGCAAATTTTGGAGTTTAGAGGATACCCTATACATCTTTTGATAGCTTAGAATTTCTCAACATAAGTGTTGATTCATTGTGGATAAATGGTGAAAACACACCTTGGGATTTTGTTCAGTGCATCTTTGAGGTAGTTACTAAGATATTAGTATCCATAAAGCGTTAAAATTTGCCAAAAATTGTTTTTTCCAATATATCGAAAACTACTATTTTCCCGGGTATTTTGGGAAGTTTTACTCGTAAAGCAAGTTACTTTTTGCCATGAATTTAAAACTCTGATCTTATCGACTTATAAAAGAAATAGACATTTATTTTTTTTTAAAAATAGTAGGTACAAGGTGTCAGAAACATAAGCGTATTTTGTGTTGTTTCGTGAAACGGCAATATCCAATTCATTAAAGATCAGTGGCGTTCGTAGAAAAGGCTTTTAAAACATGCACCAGCTTCACAACGGCATTATAGTATAATGTGGGCAGTGACCTAAGCATCTTAAAAATCGAGAAGACAATGCTCTGATAGGACACATCGCCCATGGTATTTATTCATAAAAACACCCTTCAAAATGATACGTGATCTATTGGTACTTAGGGTACCAGAAACTTTTTACTCATCCGTAAGTTACCCTTTTGGTTAATGTTGAAACCATTTGAGTTCGTTGACAGTATGTACAGTCTGTGAAACTCAAAGGTTCGCCTCTTATTAGCCTACCAAGCAAGGACTATAAACCATCTAAACCTAAAATATTCTTCTGGGCCTTGTACGGCAAGGTTTGAACTTTAATTTAGGCACCTGGCAACCTCAAAAATTATGTCTTTTAAAAATTTTCAAGACCTTTATAATGATCACTTGCAGAGATCGTCAAGACCCCTGAATGGCAAAATATTTCCTCAGATTTCAGTATACAGCAAGGTTTTAAGCTTTTCGATTCATGGTTAGTAACTCTTCTCTGAACTTGATAGTTTTTTCAAGTTATAAGCCATTCAGTGTGAGAAAAACCCTAAACAGGGCATTTTCAATGCTTGAAAGCTTGGTTGAAAATTATTGTTTTGGAGGTTGCCAAGTGTCTAGATCAAAACGGAAAGGGGGACCCTTCAAAAAAATATGTTGTGAATGTTCCACAAATCACATCTACTTAACTATGCCTGATTTATTTCTATCTATTTGCATTTCATTGTTTTATCCATATATATATACAGGGTGTAAACGTTATGGTAGTCATTATTGAAATGGGTAATAGGGGGGTCAAAACATGGTCCAAAAGTCAATAGATTTTTGTCTAAATGGCTTTATAGTTTACAACTTTAAGTGCTTTATATCGACTAGAATCACCACAATCTTACTAATTTTTATAATCTAATCTAAAACGTTTTTAAATTGGGTAATTAACAAATAAATGGCATAAGGTTTTTCTAAGTTGAACCAAAATTTGTAGTCAGTAAGTAAGTTAGTTAAATTAAATTGAATATTTAAAACCCACATGACAACAGCGCGTCGGTCATCATCACCCTTATCGAACCGGCAATCGATCGCAATCGGTAACAGTGGTTATCTATCGGGCATCGGGCGTGTTGTTTACAATGTTCTCGAATCAAGAGTTCGCCGAAATGTTAGTTTACGGTGAAGCTCGTCAGAATTCAAATATTGCGTGAGAAGTAATAATTTAGTCGTTTGAAAGCAACACACAGATAATATATAAAAAATGCCTGCTATAGTTCAAATTGTATATACCTGTTTTTTGCGCGTACATATCCATCAGAATTTAAACAGGGTGCTCATGCTCATGCACCATAACATGGTAGGTACATTTTTGTGGCGTTCATGAAGTAATCCTTTACCCTCTATTACAGACAGAGAAATATTCATAGTTTTCGTTAATCGGCTCTGTTGCGATAGAGTAACAAGAAAAAATTTATTTCATCAGCGGTACTTCTATTACTTGGAAAGTGTCACTAGATTTTGAAGAAATTTTGAAAGGCCCGTCTGGTACCAGTATTATGACCAAAAAATCAATAACTCGCCTAAACTTGACTATCTTTTTTCGTTACTGTTTAATGCGATAAAAAATTCCCATAGAGGAGACAAAAACCAGAGAGAAGTCTAACTTTGTTTATTGATGTATTTTGGTTTATTTGAAGGATTCAAAGATTGTGAAATCCGGCTAATCTCGTTTTCTAAATTATAAGCATCCACTCATTTTGTACAACTCCAAACACGAGCAACGCGATGTGTGCACTTCGAAAATATGTGGAGTGGAATCTGCGTTGAAAAATAGGCAAATGTAATCTAAAAACGCCACAAAATTTATGTGATCAGGCTAACTAGCTGAACCCTGTTGTTATTGAAATTGTACTGAAAGATTATATATATATATATATATATATATATACTAAGTGACATATAAATCCGAACACCCAGTTTAAATGGTTTTATTTTAATAAAATTTTGTATAAGTACTTAATGAATCATAATAAGTAAATGATAAAAATTTCAAAATGATTGCACTGCTTTAAAGCCCTTTGACCTTTAATAATGTGTGGATGCACCCTGATGTGCTACGCATTCTCCAACGCGCCTAGGCATGCTTCTGATCAGGTGGTCAATGTCCTCCTGTGGTATCTCATTCCAGGCAACCACCAACTCATCTCGAAGTGCTTCTAGAGTCTGAGGAGGACATTGCAAATTGAGCAATCTCCTACCCATCATACCCCACACGTACTCAATTGGGGATAAGTCGGGAGATCTTGGTGGCCATGGTAACAATGTGACATCATTATGTTGAAAGAAGTCTATTGTGACTCTTGCAACATGTGGTCGGGCATTATCTTGTTGGAAATTTGGATCTGCCAGGGTGTCAAGATAGGGTAAAAGATGGGGTTCTAGAACTTCGTGGATATAACGCTGCGCGTTCATGTTACCTCTGATGAAGATTAAAGGTGACCTGGAACCATAAGCTATAGCACCCCAAACCATAACTCCAACAGTGTGATGAACATGTCTTTCAACAAAAAACTGTGGATTCCTCCTTTCACCACGTCGCCTTCTAACCCTGGCAACGACCATCGTGCATGCCTAAACAAAATCGAGACTCGTCACTAAAGACAATACTGTTCCATTCCGGATCCCAGAGTGACCGTTGTCTGCACCACTCAAGGCGATTACGTCGGTGTTCTCGAGTTAAAGGGAGGACCCAGTGTGGCCGGTATGAAAACAAGCCAAAACTTCTCATTCGTCGGTAAACACTTCGCATGCCAATATGTCTTCCGTGTTCTGCAAACCATTCATTTGCAATGGACCTGGTAGTGGAGAAACGGTCCCTTAAGGCCAATAAACTTAGGCTGCGATCTTCACGGTCTGTTGTTCTACGGCGGCGTCCAGTGCCCCTTGCTCTTTGCGTACGGCCTTCTCGAAGCCATGCCTGACAACACCTAACCACAGTGTCTACACTTCTTTGCACTCTAACTGCAATTGCCCGAAAAGAAAGTCCAGCTTCCCGAAGTCCGACTATACGGCCCCTATCAAACTCACTAAGTTGACGAAATCGTACAGGTCTCCGTGCTCTAGGCATCGTAACCGATCGTAAAGGATGTCAAGAACCAAAATCCGCCAACGTTGATTCTTTACTGCGGCTGAAATATTCATTTTTAGAGCGTTAGTGAATTAAAAAAAAGCAGTATAAAAACCGGAATGTCCAACTGATAAGGCTGAACATTTTTTCACTTGTTATTTACAGTAAGATAAATACATTCACCAACTTTTATTAAAATAAAACCATTTAAACTGGGTGTTCGGATTTATATGTCACTTAGTATATATACGAGGGATGTCTTTTAAGTTTTGCATATGGAAATAAAACAACACGGTAGGTAGTTTTGAATGACTTTACTGTTTTTCGAAGTATTCTCCACGAAGGTTAATACACATCTGCATGCGCTCGAAAACGGCATTTTTGAATGTGTCAACTGCTTCTTCTGGTGACTGGAACCTTTGACCACGCAGTCTGTTTTTAATTTTCGGGAAAGTAAAGAAATCGTTAGGACTTAGATCGGGACTATATGGAGGATGGTCCAATAATTCCACGTTTTCTTCCGTTAAATACTGCCTTGTTTTTTGGGCTGTGTGCGAGCTTGCATTGTCTTGGTGGAGGATGATTCTTCTTTCGGGGTTGATTTTTCGAAGCTCGGTGATGACTTTTGGCAAACAAATGGTGGTATACCAATCCGCAGTAACAGTCCTTTGCTCATTAAGAGGAATTGTTGCAATATGACCAGCTTTTGACACAAATGTCGCGACCATCTTATTCTCAAC